AGAGAGAGAGAGAGAGAGAGAGAGAGAGAGAGAGAGAGAGAGAGAGAGAGAAAGAAAGTAAAAAAGATAGAAAGATAGAAAGAAAGAAAGAAAGAAATTCTCTTTGCATTATTGTAAAACACAATGAGGATTTTTCTAGAGGAACTAATGCTCTACATAGGCACATAGATGTAACTTATTATCAATTCTCAAGGCCACTGGGCGTGTTGTAGATCAAAGACAGCAACAAGAAGAGAAGAAGCACTCACCTGGCCACTTCTCCTATGTTGAACTCCACGTAAGGAGACAGTGGTTTGACAAACTCGGGCGGTTTCTGGGCCACGGAGATGTTGAGTTGTTTAGCAAGCTGACGGGTCTCCTCCTCGGCTGTCACCGACAGACAAACAAACAAATAAATAAACACACCATGTAACGCATATAGGTCGCAACTCATACACATCTAGAAATAGAAACATAGATTAAGAAACAGTGCAGGCATGCATCACTAATACGGGGTACCCACTACGGATGGGATCGGGGCCGATCGCAAGACTCAGTCGCATCAAAAACAAACGACGAGTTTGTTTTCAGTTTCAGACGAACGAGTCGAGCGATCAGATCGGCCCGATCCAGCCGTAGTGGGCACCCCGTATAAGACTCGCTCTGAAAAGACTCATGCTTACAATCATGCGCGAGCGTGGATTTAGAATTAAACAGCTAGGATTATATAAATTGTCATAATTGAGGCATTCACCACACTAGTATCTCTCAATACCAAACTAATAGATGGGAGAAAGGGCACTTGAATACCGAGGCCCCCAGATCTCTCGTTGTTCAAGATCTGCGTCTAGGGTGGGAAGGCAGCGAGACCATGCAGCGATCTATAACAAAACCACGGGGCTTTTTTTAATGTGGGGGAGGTGGAGGGGGGTATTTTCTTTTGGAACTAGCTATTTGTTACCGTAATAAACATAAAATGAATACTATTAGGCTTATTCAGTATTCACGGAACTATGGTTTTGAAAGCACGATCGCTGTGTCTGTGATAAAACATTGATGATACTCAGCATGTCTTTTTCATGACAACCGTCAGTTTGACGGGGATTAACAGTTGATATCTTTATGTGGGGAATACAACGGGCAGTTATGGTTTGTTAGCGTATAGCATACCGAAATTATGTAGGTATAAAATATGATTTTTAAAAATTTGTTCATGTTTAACTTATTTGTGACGCATATTCTGCTCATTTGATTTGCTATTTTGTGGCAAAACTTCATTATTCAAGCAGCTCTTTTAATTTTTTTTCTATATCCAAATTCTTTGCCATATCGGCAGACCGAAGGGCTAGAACCCAAATGGCCGCTGGATCGGAAAGGAAAAGTAAAGTAAAGTTCTTTATCCAAAACTTTAAAAGACTTGCAGCAACAGACATACCATGAACAATGCAAACTCATCTTTCTCATTTCGGTATGATGGTTCAAAACATGACCTAACATTGTCTTTGCTCTACCGCTGATCGGGCGTGTGTGTCCGCTACTTCCTTACAGAGTTACGGTTAGACCATCAATAATTTATTTATAGTGGCACCAGCCATCCATGTCCAGGTGCTGTTTTAGCCAGTTACTGTTAGGGTGTATCCGTTAAGGGGACATACATATTATATCATCATACATGATGGACGTGTGAGCGTGGGGCTGTAGCATTGTGTGGCGCCGTTATGAGCAGGGTGGAGTGATACAGTTACATTGGGACAGCTTATTGCGTTTTGTACATTGGGACAGCTTATTATTGAGCTTCGTATAGGGACAGTAGTGTAACTGTAACGTTGTATGTATACATCATATTTATCAAATCTGTAAAGTCTGTACTGTACATTCCAGCTCGGAGTTTAAGGTCATCAGCAGACAAAGAGAAATTAAGTTTACTTACTATGAAACTTAAAACAATGGGTGAAAGGGCATTTGAGTATCAAGGCCCCAAGATCTGGAATGCTTTACCAAACACTTTAAGAGAAATCTAATCTTTTGATTCATTCAAATGTCAGCTGAAGTCGTTTCTGTTTTTAAATTAATAAGATGAATATTTGGAATAATTTTCTTTTAGTCAGAACACAACGTTTTATGCTACTGTTGTACGTTGTACTGTATTGTAAAGCTCTCAGAGCCTGTGTACTTTAATCGGGGTAGAGCGTTATATAAATGTCATTTATTATTATTATTATTATTATTATTATTATTATTATTATTATTATTACATCTTTACATCCAGATGAGATAAAGATTCCATTTGAAGCAAACCTAAGATACTTTATTTTCTTTACAATACACTTTCAATGTGTTTACAAAGAAAGGATCTGTGGCTAGTTTCAGATCGTTACCTTTCCTTTTTAGTAGAGGTTTTACGGCGCTCACAACTGCACAATAAGGTTATATGAGCGCCAGAGATCGTTACTTGGGGACTTTCGACTTTCGTGAAATTAAAGGCTTCCTGATCTACCCAACACCGCCGTAAATAAACCACAGGACCAACCAGCGCGGAGTCCAAGGATCTAAAACAAGCCAGATATACACAGATGTTGGGGCAGAGAGTTTGTGTGACGTAACGATTGAGTCCAGCAGTACAAGAAATAGTATTTTGAGAAATCAAAGCTGATCCTGAATGGAGGACCTCTAAACCAATCTAGTTGTAGACACAAGTAACCTGACTGGAAACCTCTCATAGACGTACATTTGCGCGTTTAAATATATATGTATTTATGTATGAAGATACAGAATCTGTATCTGATTCATCGAGTTGCCATTGTAACTCAAATTTCCTCACGAGAATGAATAAAGTAATTTATAATTAATAATTATTATCACTTTTATCATTTATATCATTCATAATTATATATCCTAAACAACAAACTTTATCTTTAGGATGTGCACAGCTTAGAATAAACGTAGTGGGTACATAAGACAACGTTATGATGTTCACAACTAAGAATGTACGTATAGAAAAGATGAGACAACTTTAGGATGTGTAAAGCTAAGAATTTATGTATTGGGTATATGAAACAATTTTAAAATGTATACAACTAAGAATTTATGTATTGGGTATATGAAACAATTTTAAAATGTATACAACTAAGAATTTATGTACTGGATATATGAGAATCTTAAGGATGTGCACAAGTAAGAACTTTTGTATTGGACAGATAAGACAACTTTAGGATGTGCACAGTTTAGAATGTATGTACAGAACAGATGAGACAACTTTAGGATGTGCACAGCTTAGAATGTATGTATTGAACTGATGAGACAACTTTAGGATGTGCACAACTAAGAATTTACGTACAGAACAGATGAGACAACTTTAGGATGTGCACAACTAAGAATGTATGTACAGAAAAGATGAGACAAGTGAAAGAAGTGCACACTTTCTACTACACGTATAGAACAGATCTGATGAGACAACTTTAGGATGTGCACAGCTTAGAATGTATGTATTGAACTGATGAGACAACTTTAGGATGTGACAACTAAGAATTTACGTACAGAACAGATGAGACAACTTTAGGATCTGCACAGCTTAGAATTTATGTATAGAAAAGATGAGACAACTTTAGGATGTGCACAGCTTAGAATTTACGTATAGAACAGGTGAGACAACTATAGGATACACACAGCTTAGAATTTACGTATAGAAAAGATGAGACAAGGGCTGTTACTCACTACTACACATACAGAAGAGATGAGACAAGGGCAGTTACTCACTACTACACGTACAGAAAAGATGAGACAAGGGCTGTTACTCACTAGAGAGTTACCGGACATGCACCAAACCCAATCCCACAGGCAGGGGCGGGGAAGGAGGAGGTCGGCTCACTGGGGTTAAGGTCGCAGATATGTGTGAAGGTGAAGGTCAGCATGCGGGGAGGAAGTGAAGCAAGCGAATCTGGGACGCCGTCAGTTTCCTGACCCCCAGCAGAAAGGTCAAAGGTCATGATGTCCTTGACCCTGACCCTCAGACTGCGGTGATGGCCAGGTTTTCTCTCCGACAAGTTTTGCGTGCATCCTGGCAAGCTGTGACTAAGCGCATGCGTACTGGTGCATGCGTGCTGCTGCATGCTGGGACATGTCTATAGTCTGTTCTCCTCCACAGGACAAAAATCTTCCTCAACAAACATTGACACGACACGTCATAGGGCTGCCATCATCACACAGATACTTGACAACGACTAGCATTACAATAAACACAACAAATCTCGTAACATTCTCCACGTCTTCACTTTTCTCTACTCAGAGCAAACAGAAAGGTAATTCTATAAATATTCTGTGTCAAACACACACAACAGACGGTTTACAACAATCACTTTCACTCTTAAATCATTAAATTACGACCTTACGTTGTACAGAACGTCAAAAACTTCAATCTTACTGTGACAGGTAAAAAAAAACAAGACTACGTTTCTGCAGGTTTACAGTAACTGTCACTGTGCAACTACCACAAAAGACATTGAACAAAGATGTCACACTTGGGAATTTACATACGAGCAACAATTAGAAAAAAGAGAAAAAAAGACATTTTCAAATCAGCCAGGCAGACACTCCCCACAAAATGGAGTGAAAACACAAAGCAAAAATAAATTTTAAAAAATAAAAATAAAAATTTAAAAATAACACCAAAAAACAAAAATAATTGAAATTATGAAAGTACCAATGGCCATGCAGACATAATACTTTAGACTTACAATCTATCGTAGATCGCGTGTTAGTAACGGGGCGGGAGGGGGCGGGGCATGGGGGGGGGGTATGTGCTTCATGTGTTAGTTTCAAACATTGTAAGTAACAGTATTGTAAATTTAGAAATAAAACTAGATCTAATTAAAAAATGGGAATCAAAATGGAATCTTGAATTGTTCTTACACCAAGAAAATTTGCCGGAGTCAAGCTTACTGATGTGTTAACCGTCTTCCCTGGACAGATGATACAGTCATAGAGTTTTCAGCCTGTATATCCGGCATGGGGAATATTTGGTCACTTTTAAGAACAAGCGGGCTAACCCAGATTTCGGGGGTTTCCAGAAATCTTGACCTACGCCAAAAGTGGTCATAGCCCTACCTTTAGGGGAAGTTTGGTTTCATTTTTGTGTATATTTGTTTTGTTATAAAGAAAACTCTTCTTGTCTTTTAAAGAAACTAAATAAGGGGCAAAAACTTAACCTTCGATTTTCTCTAAACAGCTTTTTTCTGGATAGCCCCTTTGTGCTTAAAAGCGACCATTTGTAAAATAGACAATGGTTCACTTAATGCGTCGTGTGGTCATCTTGGTGGGTCTATATAGGTAAACATTGATGAGACATATTCACAGGACAGATAGCACGTAGATGATGAAGCAAGCGGTATCATGATCTAAGCATGCAGACCACAGTGCAGGCAGCACAGCACAATACTTGAGCAACATTTCATGATTCTGCTGGAGAATCATATCCGAGACTAGGCAACAATTATCACATGTTTGTGCATAAATTATATTCATTTTTATGAAACAAAAACTAAATAAACTGTCTGGAAAAGAGAAATGCTATTATTTACATAAAATTATAATGAATATAACGAATCTGCCAAATATCTGGATGAGGAAAATATATCATTATCGCTGAAACTTTTCTATAAACATTAAAATAAAATGTCAAGATTTCAACAGGAAAAAAAAATTATTTAAAGTTATTGGAAAAACAATACAGTTATGTGTGACTTCATCAGAAGTAGATCATGCCTGAAAACTGAATGAAAATAATGACATAAATTTACTGAAATGTGAAAACGTGACATCAATAATATACTGAAATGCGATGACAGCATGAAGAATGGAATCTCAGTCAAAACAACACAGTGATATCACAGTAGATGACGGGTGAGTTCGCCAGCAGGCGACGACAGAGGTGAGCGGGAGACAGACAGGGTGAGGTACTCACGTTGCACGTACAGCTCCGCGGAGCACTCAGCTGTGCCGGCCTGGTTCTTGGCTCGGCACGTGATGAGTCCCGTGTCCTCGGGGTGAGCTTTGTAGATGGTCAAGTTGGTGAGTCGGTCAACTGTCTCGATCTGTGAGTTGGGGGGAGGGGGGGTGGGGATACACGGGGAGACGGTGTGTGGTGTGTTACAGTTGTGGGAGAGTGGGTCCGCTTACAACGGTTTGTTTTAACATTAGTTGTCTCTTGTCCCTCTGTTTCTCTATGTCTTTCTCTCTCTCTCTCTCTCTCTCTCTCTCTCTCTCTCTCTCTCTCTGTGTCTCTGACTCTCTCTCTCTGTCTCTGTATCTCTCTCAGTCTCTGCCTCTGATTCACTCTTTCTCTCTCTCTCTCTCTGTCCCACCTCTCTCTTTCTTCGTCAATCTCTCTCTCTCCCCTCCCTGTCATTCTCTTCTTCCCTCTTCTCTCACCCCCCCTCTCTCTCTCTCTCTCTCTCTCTCTCTCTCTCTCTCCCTCACCTTGTACTCTCTACAGTCCTGTAGAGTCTGTATGCCATTCCTGATCCAGGTGATCTCTGGGGCGGGCACACCCGAAAAGACCGCCTCAAACTTGGCCGGCGTCCCCTCAGTCACCATCATGTTGGAGATAGGACGGATGAAGCTGGGGGGCTGGGCCAGGGACTCGGGCTGGCTGGGTTCCACGTCACTCTCGATGCCTGCTCGAACAGAGATTTAGTTTTAGTAAAAGTTTTACGGCGCTCGCAACCCCATAAGGTCATAAATATGAGCGTTTTAGTAGGGGTTTTACTGCCCTCGCAACTGCATAAGGTCATATTATGAGCGCCAGAAGATTAGAGGTGTTACAAGAGAGTAACAAACATAAATAAAGAAAGCTGGGAGATAAAGACGAAATAGATGTTTGATAGGAAAGAAGAAGCAAACCACACCAGAGCACCCACCAACCACCCACTCGCACAGAGCACGGAGAGACAGAGGAGAGGGGAGGAGTGAGGGACTGTAAACATTAACATTGAGGACTACTAAGTTTGGTGGGATATATTAAGTAAAGATACACATTGACTGTTAAGAGTGGGATGGGAAAAAACATAATAAGGAATAACACAGACTACTATACCAGCAGCGCAAGAGATTTTTTTAAAACCCAGAGGGTTGTTCCACAATATAATAATATGGTGATATCAGAGAAACTCCCTCAAAAAACATTTCATTACCACATCTTTATTCTCGCCTGGGGCAGAACAAAAAGGCTGCTACCTAAGCCCATACATCTTGATATAGGTGACCACAACTGTTTATTGTGTCTAGATTTGCCATGGACCTTGTCTAAAGTACCCAGACTTACCATGGACCTTTTTCTCCAGTATCTAGACTTACCATGGACCTTAAGATCAGTGACCACGGCTGTCTCTAGTATCAAGAATGAATATGGACCTTTTCTATTGTATCTGAACTTACCATGGACCTTTTATATTGTATCTGGTCTTACCATTTTTCTATAGTACCCTTTTCCTATAGTACCCAGACGTACCATGGACCGTGAGATAGGTGACGACAGCTGTATGTGTGTGTGTGTGTGTGTGTGTGTGTGTGTGTGTG